CAAAGAGACAGGAAGACCCCATATATTTTGGGTTGATTCGTGGTGACCTTGATGCCCAGGGCAGCCGAGGGTTGTATTGCAGCACAACAGCACCTCAAAATGAGCTCCCGCGGCCCCCAGTTCAGGCGCCCCCACGTAACCAAACCTCTCTGGGGCTGCCTGACGGGGCGGCAGGCTTCCCGCTGACCGAAAACGCGCAGGAGTCAACCTGAGAGCGCCTGGTTCTGCGGGTCTGAGCACCGAGCGAGGTCGTTCGCCCAAGCTAACGCAGTGTGGAGCGCGGGAGATATAGTGGAAACAGGGCAAGGAAATGAAATGTTTGGGGTAGAAAGGGTCTCTGCCAATACACGCTGCTCTCCAGTTCGGTTTTGGAACTTCTGTCCTGCTTAGGTTTAAAACACGCAGTATTATAAGCTCTAGGAAATTACAACTTTGGTTTCAATTTTTGACATATTGGATATGTCTCACTGGGGGAAAAAAAGTAGCAGAGTTGGAAAACTTTAACCTGTTTCAAGAGCATCATCAGAGATTTTTACAAGGGCCTGTAATGACAGGACAAGGGGTAACGGGTTTAAATTGAAAGTGGGGAGGTTTAGATTAGATAGCAGGAAGGAATTCTTCCCGCAGAGGGTGGGAGCACTGGGACAGGTTCCCAGAGAAGCTGTGGATGCCCCATCCCTGGGAGTGTCCAAGGCCAGGCTGGATGAGGCTGGGAGCACCCTGGGCTATGGAAGGTGTCCCTGCCCATGGCAGGGGGGGGGGCTGGGGGGGCTTTGAGGTCCCTTCCCACCCCAACCGTGCTGTGATTCCATGATTCCCAAGCGAGTCCTTCACATCAGCTCGCACAGCTGCCTACGGGACCAGAGCTGCTGGGGGCTGTGGCCGCAGCCCTTGGAGCAACGCTGGTCGTGCAGACCGCGCCGCTGGCTGCCGTCAGAGCTTATGTGACGTACGAAATGTGTACGTACCCACCTCTTCCAAACCGTAAAGCTGTAACAGCAAATCTGAAAGAAATTAATACTGTTGAAATTAATGAACTGAGAAATTGAAGTTCACATCACTACACGAATGAACGTATTAATATCTGTTGTACGTAAATTAATGAGAAATATCATTATGGCAAAAATTAAACAACACTAAAATTAAAGACACTCCAAATTACATTTCTGCCGAAGAGTTAACTAGGAAAAAAGCAGTTGTCGTTGGCATCTCGGTCTAACCTGGTAAAAAAATAGGAGATGGCTGCTCAGGGGTGTTAACCTCACGCTGGTTTATGGCGCTTGGTCTCCAGAGCTGGGGAGCCGGTGCAGGGCACTTGGCTTTGGTCTTAGAGGGTCCTCGAGTTGCTCAGCCCCGCTGTTTTCGTACAGTGCAGGTGTGGAAACGGAGCTTTTCTGCCCAGGCAGTAGGTCTGGGCGTGAAACGGTGGTTGGTGGGGGATGTCCCCGAGGGCTGCCTGACACCACCAGGAGTGACCGTGCGGGTCCCCAGCTGTATGGTGCCTGTCCCTCGCCTCGCTCTCGGCCCCGCACCTGCGGGAGTCGGGATGCTCTGCCCACGACAACCTGCTCGGAGCCTCCTCTCACAACGTGAAGGCCTTGCAGAGCCTTTCGCGGGGAAAGGCGCGTGCCCGTGGTCGCTCGGTCGGAGGACATGGTGCTGAGGAGCCCGGGTCCGCATCCGCCCACGCCGTCCCACGCCCGCCCGGTGCCGAGCATCGCGGTCGCGTTGAACCAGACGTGCCTTACACAAGCGTGCTAATAACAGCTCGTTTCTCTTCTCTTTTTCTTTTAGCTATGTCTGGGCTTGTAGTCCCGCCAATGTAAAGTCACTTTTGTTTACCTACCGTAGCACCAAGCTTCAGAGGACGGGCTTAGGGGACAAGTTTAGTATATTGAGACATGCTGATGGAAACAGTATCTTCACACAGAATCAGCAACAGATCGAAATGCTACAACAAAAAAAAAAAA